GAGGGTCAACGAAAGAGGGGGAGGCCTTCAAGGAGATGGATTTATAAGGTGGCTGTGATGATGGGCTCAAGTATAGCAGGGATTGTGGGGCTGGCGTGGGATCGGGCAGTGTTTTGTTCTGCTGTGCATGGGGTCACTATGAGTCGGAAATGACTCGATGGCACTTAACAACAACAACAACATAGAAAACTGATGAGCAGACTCACTACAAACTTGTTAAACCAGCAGTTTTCTTCAACCTTTACTACATTATATATACTTATAATATACAGGGTTTGGATAAGACAATAGGAACCAAGGGGCACAAGATGATAATCATATGGTGATGAGACATTTGTAAATACTAGAAGTAGCTTCTGACAATAAATTCACAATCTAGCAGGAAGAAAGGCACTTACAGTATTAACTTAGTAAGTCAAGCTGTGATAAGCATTAAAAAGCAGTGTAAACTTATTATGTGGGATTATAGAAAAGGAAGTGAATAGAGGTGTAAGGAGTGGCCTGGAAGCAGAGCCAGGTACAAGGAGATTTTGGATGCAGCTGTAAGAGGCAGCCCAAAGCAGAATCAGGTGCTGGGGGCTTCTGGAAGTGGCTGTAAGGGACAGCCCAGAAGGGGAGCCAGGTGTGGAATTTAAGCTGCTTAAAAGGAGGTCAGGAAGAGAGCAGAGCAGTTGGGAACAGCTAAGAGAGATGAACTTCTCTGTCAGTTTGTTGTCCTGTGGTGCCTTACAGTTGCTATGAGGCTGGAGGCTATGCCAGTGGTGTTGGAAATGCCAGCAAGGTTACCCATGGTGAACAGGTTTTAGCAGAGTTTCCAGAGTAGGACAGACTTGGAAGAAGGGAGAAGCCATCCACTTCTCAAAGAAATGGCCAATGAGAAACTTATGAATAGCAGAGAAACAGTGTCTGATATATTATTGGAAAACTTTATTAATAGACCTGAAACAATGTCCAATATGGTGCCAGAAGATAATCCCCTCAGGTCAGAAGGCACTCAAAATATGACTGGAGAAGGGCTGCCTACTCATAGGAGAGACGACCTTATTGATATGGATGGAGTAAAGCTTTAGGGACCTCCATTACTAATGTCACACAACTTAACATGAGAAAAAACAGCTGAAAACATCGATTTATAGTCAGAACTGGAATGCACAAAGTATGAATCTAGGAAAATTGGAAGTTGTCAAAAATTAAATGGAATGCATAAAGATTGATACCCTAGACATTAGTGTGCTGAAATGGACTTGCTCTGGTCATTTCAAATCAGATAACCATATGATCTAATATGCCAGGAATAAAAGATTGAGAGGAATGGCATTCATCATCACAAAGAATGTTTCAAGATCTGTTCTAAAGTACAATTCTGTCAGTGATAAGATAATATTCATACACCTACAAGGAGGAACAGTTAATACTACTGTATTCAAATATATGCACTAACCACCACCAAAGTCAATGATGAGGAAATTGACGATTTTTACCAACTTTTGCAGTCTAAAATTGACTGAACATGCAATTAAGATGTGTTGATTGTCACTGGTGATTAGAATGCAAAAGTTGGAAACAAAGGAGAATCATTGGTACTTAGAAAATTTGGCTTTGGTGACAAAAATAATGCTGGAGATCACATGATAGAATTTTCAAGACCAAAGACTTGTTCATTGCAAATAGTTTTTTTCAAGAACACAAATGGTGGCTGTAGTCATGGACTTTGCCTGATGGAATATGCAGGAATCAGATTGACTACATCTGTGGAAAGAGGAAATGGAGAAGCTCAATATGTTCAGCCAAAACAAGGCTAGGATCTGACTGTGAACAGACCATCAAATGCTCATATGCAAGTTCAAGATGAAGCTGAAGACTATTAAAATAAGCCCATAAGAGCCAAAATATGGCCTTGGGTATATCCTTCCTGAATTTAGAGACCATCTAAAGAATAGATTTGATGCATTGAACACCAGTGACCAAAACCCAGAAGAATTGTGGGATGACAGCAATAACATCATCCATGAAGAAAGCAAAAGGTCATTAAAAAGACAGGAAAGGAAAAAAAGACTGAATGGATGTCAGAAGAGACTCTGAAACTTGCCCTTGAACAGAGAATAGCTAAAGCAATGGAGGAAATGACAAGATAAGAGAGCTGAACAGAAGATATCAAAGAGCAGCTCCAGCAGACAAAGCCAATTATTATAATGAAATGTGCAAAGACCTGGAGCTAGAAAACCAAAAGGGAAGAACATGCTCAGCATTTTTTAAGCTGAAAGAACTGAAGAAAGAAAAATAAGTTTCAAGTTGCAATACTG